TTGAAACTTGGAAAAGGCTTCCAAAATCAGCTATGTCCATCAATTTTGCTAACAGTCTTGCTTTGAGGCAGAGAAGGATTAGCATTTCAATTTCGAGGTTACCTGGCTACCTTATTAATGTAGAGAAGATAACCGCACTAATTTCGAATGCAGAGAGAACATTTTTTGCATCCTAGAATTTTTAAACTTGCCTCTGATTTAATATCAGTTGCTCAGACAGGTATTTCAGAATTGTGCATTCCTCAAAATATTGTTTTAGCAGACTTTAGTTTCTACAAGCCAGGCAGGGTGAATATATTGGTCGGGGTTGAACGATTTTTCGATACTACAAGGGTTCATGTAATAATTCCTGGATAATGACAGAAACGGTATTTGGCTATATAGCTGGCGGAGCGGGGAAGAGTGCACACTAAGTGAAATATTGTGGTTTCATTTCACGTTTAGATGAATTGGAAACAAGTGTTAAATAATTCTGAAACTTAGAAAACACTAAGGATACATACCCCCAGGTTACAAAATGAGGAAACTGATTGCAAAAGAAATCTTTTGTGAAACATACCGTAGGTATGGAATCAGAGTAAAATATACTATTAATTGGCCATTATGGAAAAATGTTCAGTTGTGTATATCTAAAAATTTCGCTGAAACGCGATTAGAAAACTTATGGAAAAGACTGCATAAAAATCCAGAATTTAAAACTACACCGTTTTTAGGACTGAATATAAAGGTTTAGGACAGATGCAAGAAATTGAATAGAAAAGTAATTCGAGAGAGTATAACACCACAACAATGCTATGTGTTGTCAAAGTTATGCAAGAAATTGAATTGAAAGTTAATTTAAATTGCTATATAATGTCTCGTCATTGAGAAGAGAGAAGACAACACCATAACAAATTTATGTGTTGTCTTTGACGCATCAATGTCTCCGTCAATGGAATTTTGTTTGAATTATTATTTACTTAACTGTCTTATTGTTCCAGGGAATTCATTTGCAATTGTTTATGATTGCATATGCATAAGATAGTCTTTGTTTCTGATGTGCAAAAAATGTGTAGGCATATTTGAGTAAATCCTGAACAAGGAAATTTGCAATGCATATAATGAATAAAGCTAAAAGGAAAAGAATAAAAATGGAATTTCGTATATCAATCAGACTTTTTTCCTTGGAGATTTTTAAATGACATTATTTATAAAACAAAAGTGTGAGTGTCGATGAAATAAAAGCCAGAATTAACCAGTGAGATAACCAGCTTGAATATAGCCATGCTAAACCGTAAATGTATGTAATTGATTATAGATTATATTGAGCAGTATAACTATACAGTATAGAGGTCGAGATCCGGAAAAATTGGGTCTTTCAGCAATTCTGGATTTTAGAAATTTCCGGGTTTTAGATAATCATTTTAAATTTACCTTAATTTCTCTATGTTGTTTTAAATTATAAATTTAAAAACATGAAATAATTTTTGTTTTTGAAGTAATAGAACATTTATGACAATGGAATCGAAATTTCAAAAAAAAAAAAAAAAAAAAACTCATTATTACTATTTTTTTATTTAGCTCATTCATTTCATTTTCATTTTTCAAAATTTCATTTAGTATAAATTATTTAAACTGTTTACTTTTCGTGCTAATATTTTCCATTCGATTAGATATAATCTCTTATTCAGTTATAACGTTTCATTATTCAAGTCCTAAAATGCCGTGTCAAGAACTCCGAAGTGAAGTGAGAGCGAAGTGATGCTGTGCGGTCTATTGTTAGGATACCAATGCCAATGATTTTAAATGCCGGTGTGCCTATGGTTCAAAACCATTTCCCTCCTTATCAGAATTAACTAAAAGAGAGCAGAAATAGGAAAATGCACGTTTTTTTTTTTTTTTTTTTTTTTTTTTTTTTTTTTTTTTTTTTTTTTTTTTTTTTTGATACTCTTATGCCGGGCTGTCGCTGTAGAGCACGCGACGTTGCCGACTCTCTCACTAAGTATCCCAGTAGGGCACAAGACGTTGAACAGTCTGGTCGGGCATTCAGAAGGCGTCGGAAAATGGGAAAAGGGGAGTGACCAGCGTCACAAGAAGAGAGAAAACCAGGAAAGCCGCGCGCATGGAGAGGTTAAATACAAGTGGGTGTCTGATAGTTCATTCATTCATTATTAACTGCGCCGAGAAATGCAACGTGTCCGGCTCATGACAAGTATGCCCAAGGGGCACATGACATACATATGCATAAGTTATGACTTATGACGAAAGTGGATAATAAGAAAAGACCTAGAGCTACTGATTCGGAAGGTTTTGCCCTCCCACCTAAGCATCGTGTTGCTAAAAAATTTCCTACTGCTCAGTCGCCTACAATTTCAACTCCTAATACCTCAAATAAATTTGAGAACTTAGAAAATGCAAAAAACTAATCCTGAAATTAATTCTACGCAGCCGGCCTGTTCGAAAATTCTCACCAAATTTGTTATCTCAAGAAACTATTTATTACTCAGAAATAACTATCTATATCCCTTTAGTTATTTATGACTCTACAATAATTAAATAATTCCTTTACTCATCCAAATGATGAAAACAAAAGTTACACTAACTCTCTAAACAGAAGAACAACATAGTATATTGCCATTTTCTGAAACATAAACTGTTTCAAAATATAGATAATAATAATATGAATAGATAATGAATAAAAAAATCTATAGAGTAAAGAAAACGATTACATCTGCTTGAAGCTCGTGCAATATTACTCAGAAGATGCAGTTAGAAAAAATATAAAATATAAAAATATATTAGAGTCAAAATATTGTTCATCCTCCCACTTTAGAGTATGAAATTCGGGATTGAGTATTGCAAAATAATAAAAAATTAAACATTGTTCTCAAAGTCCAATCGATGAGGAACTCTAATTGTCCTTCCTGATTTGGTTATCGTGGGCGATTTTAAATGGGTATGGATTATTCTATTCGTTTCTACAGGTACATCATCAATTGGAGTTTGCTCTACCGAAATATTTTCGCATCGTTCACTTCCGCTGAATTTCGATGGAAGTTCCTCGGCGGTCGATAATTCCAAAGGATAAAGATTTTGTACAGCTCTTATGACTTATGACTTCTCCATTTTGCACTTTAATTCTGGCTCGTCGACTTTCACACACGTCGGTACCTGGAAATAATTGTTATGATTTTACCAAGAGGCCAATTTAATCTCCTTTTGTCATCGCTTCCAATTAAGACAATGTCTCCTTCTTTTAATTTACAACTTCTAGCGAATTTTTTGCTTGTTGTTTTCAAAGTTCCCAGATATTCCTGGCGAAATCTTTTCTTGAAAACCTGGTTAACATTTTGGATATAACGCAATCAATCTACGTTTATAAAAGTTAAAATTGAAGTCATGTTTCACAATTGGAACTGAATAGTTTTGTATTTCTCGTAAAAAATTTCCAGGTGTTATGGAAGTGAGACTTAAATCAGCCGATACAACTGTTAAAGGTCTATCATTTAGGATAGCTTCACAGTTACACAAAACGGTGCACATTTCCCCATAACTAAGGCAGGCTCTCCCAAGAACCTTGCTTAATATTCTTTTCATCATTCCTATGAGGCGTTGCCGCCCCACCATGGAGTTCTTGGGGAAATGAACTTCCAAATAATACGTTCATTAGCTTCTTTTTTTTTTTTTTTTTTTTTTTTTTTTTTTTTTTTTTTTTTTTTTTTTTTGCAATTTCATTGAAATCGATTGAAGCAAGTGCATTGCATGCTCCAACAAAATTTGTTCCATTATCAGTATAAATTATGGATGACTTCCCACGTCTAGCAGAAAAACGAGGAAACGCTTGTAGAAATGTATCTGTCGTTAAGGATGTATTGGTATTATTGGTATTATTCAATTATGGCAAAGCACACGAGGCTTCCCTAAAGAGGGATGCCTTCGTGGAACTTTCTGAAAACTGGCTCGTATACACGGTGAAAACATGCTGCGGATTCGAAGTATGCTCAAAAAGATGTAACCAGTTCCAAATGAACCAACGGTACACTGCGCAAGTGAATAGGCAAATCCATGCCTTCTTGTAGTCTCTTAGAAATATAGGTCCAGCATAATCTATGCCGGTTATTTGAAACACTGAGGCATCCTGTACCCGATCTCTAGGAAGTGGTGGCGCTGGTGGGTTAACATTTTTGTTTGAATAACGCTTACAGGTTATACAAGTTTTCAAAAACGGATGACACAACTCTTCTTCCCGCTAATATCCAAAATCTTTCTCTTAAGGAATTTAGGACGTGAGAAACTCCAACATGTCCTTTCAACTTATGTTCTTCCATTATTAAACTTCTTATAAGAGGATGATCACTTGGCAAAATAGCAGGAGTTCTGAACTCAGATGTATCTTCTCTTTGAAATATCGCTGTTTTAGTTCTGATGATCCCACAATCAATGAATGGATTAAGACTTAAAATCCGTTTATCTTCTATTCCATTAAAGGACTCATTTTGTATTAAACGAATCAAGATATTCTCTGCTTCATTTAACTCAGATACAGTAAGTTCATCCTTTTTCTTGTTTTTGTTTTGATGTTTACAGTTGTAAACAAAACGACACACATCCACGCTACCAGTCTGATTGTCTTACGATAACTTGAGAATCTAGTAGCAACTATTTCACTAGCTTTAAGATTTATTAAGGACGAAATAATCCTTTTCTTTTCTCAAGAGCTATTTCTTCTTCATCAGCACTAAAATCTTCTTTTGGCCATTTTTCTGGTGATAAATATAGCCATTTAGGGCCTTCCCACCATCTAGATTTAATTAAATAAGAAGCAGAGCATCGTCTACTGGGCAAATCAGCAGGATTCAGTGATCCTGGTACGTGCCTCCAAGATTCAATAGAAGTCAGTCGTTTCATTTCCTTAATTCTGTTGTGAACAAATACGTCCCATACTTCATTTCTCTGTATCCAAGCTAGCACAGTAGACGAATCTGTCCAAAAATAAATATCATCAGCTTGAAATTCAGGTATTATGTTATGCTGGATGCTAAACGTGTACATATTGTAGCTCCAAGAAGTTCCAATCGAGCTATTGTTGTCTTTTTCCTTCCGCTGGGTGCAACTCTCGCTTTAGCTTGCACCAAATGAACTTGAACCGAATCTCTTGTTTGTACTCGAACAAAGGCCACAGCTGAATATGCAAGTTTACTCGCATCACTGAAGAAATGAAGTGAGATATTTTCAATCTCACGATCACAGTTTAACCATCTTGGTATTCTCATTCTTTCCAGACACTGCAAATCATTCAACCATTTACAAAATTGTGATTTTGAATTTGAATCAACTTCTTGGTCCCAAGATAACTTAACTTCCCATAGGTGCTGAAGTAAAAGTTTCGGCACAAGAGTTACGGGGCAAGCTATTCCTAAAGGGTCGAATATTTTGTGTGTAGTAGCTAAAATCTCTCTTTTAGACAAAATTTCTGGTAGATTGTAGGTGATGTTAGTAATATTAAGGCAAAGGTAATCTCCACATCGTTCCCAAATCATTCCTAATACATTTGTGGTACTAGAGGAATTATCTGTTGGGTCACTATATTCCCAACCACGTAATTCTAGCTTTCTTGTCTTGTAGCTAAAGTATCTGAAGCAACTTGTATGAACTGTTGCAATTCTAAATCATTTTTCACACTCGCTAAACAATTATCTATAAAAGCTCTTCTTCAATTGCTCAATAATATCCACTTTATACTTTGGGTTTCCATTTAGTTGTTTTCAAAGTGGATTCTAGAAGATGGTGAATTACAGAAACTAGCAAGAAAGGGCTACTTGTAACTCCAAATACTACCCTACAATGCCTGTAATACTTCAGTTTTCCATCAGTTCTATACCATAAGAATCTTAGATAGTCTTTATCCTTAGGGTTGAGACTTATTTGTAAGAATGCTTTTCGTATATCTGCAGAAACTCCTATTCTGTTCATTCGGAATCTATGAAGAATTGAAGGAATCAGTTCGATAAGGTTCTGACCTTTTTCTAGACAATCATTGAGACTAGGTGATCCTTTCTGTTTGGCCGAGGCATCAAACACTGGCCTGATTCGTGTAGTACTGTTTTCTTTTACTATGTGTCGATGTGGTAGATAATGGCATGTTACATCAATTTCGCTTTTTGGTACTTCTTCTATGACGCCTTCTCGTTCCCATTCACTAAAAACTTCTCCATAAGCATCATAAAGTTTCTCAGCTTTTAGTCGTTTTACTGTAGAAGCTAATCTCTTTACAGCTAAGTCATAGTTATCTTTTAACGGTAGATGGTTATCACGCCATGGCAAGCTGACTTGAAAACGTCCCTCTTCGTTCACATTTACAGTAGACAAGAAATGATCTCTTGCCTCTTCTTGAAGTTCCAGTTTATTTTTTCTCTCTGAGGAATCTAGAATTCCAAGTGAATCTAGAGACCATAGATCGGATATCAATATTTCCTTATTCAACATGGATGTGACGAGCAGTGCGGAATTGTCCGAGATCTCACGCATACCATTTTTCCCAAAAAGAGTCCAACCAAGTTTAGTTTCTATAGCAGCAAGGCCTGAAGTAAGCAATTTAAATCCTCCGGTCATCAACTTGCCTGCAATGTCAGCGCCGATAAGTATTTCTATTGGTCCATTACTATCGTCGCATACGGAAATATTGTTCTCTTTAAGCTCTCGAATCCACTCGCCATTAGCAACTGGTAGTATACTTTCACAAATAATATTTTGGGTAAGAGCTTTACAGTGTTAAGTTACAATGATAAGTTCCATCCGTTTTAGACAAGAACACTGTAAAACCATCAGTACATGACCCGCCAAATAATGAATGGCTCAATCTTTCTTTAGATGCACTCTCAAATTTCATTTCATCTGCAGTGCTTTTTAAAATATAAGATATTTGTGAAGCTGAATCGATAATAGCACGGGCCTGGCACTTTCTCTCTCGACCTTTCAATATAACCGTTAAAGTTTGCAAAAACACATTTGTTGTTCTCGCCAAATTAGCGAGGGTTTCATCTCGTTCAGGTACTACATCCGTATTTTCGCTAACAGGAACTGGAGATTTTGATTCAGCTTGGATATTTCTACATAAAAGTATGTGGTGTTTCTTCCCACAAATCACACACAATGTTCGTTTTTCACATTTAGCTATTACATGTTTTCTGTCTCACATAAAAAGCAACTGCGACTATTTAGAACTGCTTTTTGCTTTCTATCCTCAGACGTCATCTTTCTTGCTTTAAAGCAATCACCAGATGCATGATTTCCAGCACAAAAAATACATCCAGTTGAATTTTGTTCAGATGTTGCTATTAGAGTAGAAGCAGAAGGTGTTTTGGAAAATTCTCCACGGTTTTTGAAACCAAAGTGTTTTAGCATTCCCAGGCTTAGGAGTCTGATATTTAGTAAAGCACTGAGTAGCTATAGATACTCTCTCTTCACTTCTTCAATTTCATCGAGCAAAAATGAAAGCAAACCATCTAAATCCATGCGATGTATTGACGCATTTTTCTCTTTTTGCTCACTAGTTTCAGATTCTGTCTGACTGCAATTAATAACTCCGAATCTTTGTCATTCTCTTAATGTATCATCCGGCAATGACGATTCGACTAGAGGATATAACATCGCCGCAGATTTATCTCTAGCAACACCCAGAACTTTTAACGCTCTAAGTTTTGATTCTAAGTTATCATAGAGTTTTCGTAAATAAAATTTCTGCTGAGAGTTTTTTTAATAATACTAACGACAGTAGATCTCTAACATAGACTTCTATAAGAAGGTCTTCTTTCCCAAAACGCGATTGCAGTTGTTGTAAAGCTCTACTATAACTTTCGCCACCGGCGGAAAGCTTTTGATTAACTCAGCAGATGACCCTTTTCCAGCAGATAATTCAGCAGATGACCCTTTTTCCATAGACTTCAATAAATATGCAAATTTATCATGATCATCTAAATTGGGATCATTATCGATCTTTTTAAACTGGCCCAAAAATGCTAACCAGCTTTTAATATTCCCATCAAAAATCGGAAGTTTAAGCTTAGGATAACGTATAGTAGCATTTTGAGTTAAGCTTTTATTAACAACAGAACCGTTTTTTTCCTTTTCAGCTAGAAGCGAAACTAATTTGCTTTCTACCATTCCTCCACTTATCAATACAGCATTTTCCGACTCATCAAACTCATTATTTCTCACAGTGTCATCTTTTTCAGTTTTAATCAGTTCTTCTCTATAAGTCTGTTTTATTTCAATCATAGGTTTCGCTTTGTCCTCAACTAATTTAAGTTTCGAAATTTTTCCGTCTAAAGATAAATCATTTTCATTCTTCTCAAAATCATTTAAATCTTTTGTAAATAATCTCCTAAACTAAGATCGTTTGCATTTCAAAACATCCATTATAAATAAACGAAAGAATTCTACTTAGAGATAACAGTCCTTCCAGTGAACGCCAAATGTTAAAAAATTCTCACCAAACTTGTTACCTCAAGAAACTATTTATTACTCTGAAATAACTATCTATATCTCTTTAGTTATTTATGACTCTACAATAATTAAATAATTCTTTTACTCATACTCTCAAATGAAAACAAAAGTTACACTAACTCTCTAAAAAGAACAACATAGTATATTACCATTCTCTGAAACATAAACTGTTACAAAACATAGAAAATAATAATATGAATTGATAATGAATAAAAAAAACTCTATAGAGTAAAGAAAACGATTACATCTGCTTGAAGCTCGTGCAGTATTACTCAGTAGCTGCAGTTAGAAAAAATATAAACAAAAAATTAGAGTCAAAATATTGTTCAAGGCCGCAAATGCAACTCCTAAAGTTCGGTCCGAGTTCGAACTCCGCGAACGGGCTGGCTGCATGGGCGTTTTCGTTGTTTTCCCGTATGTAACGTGTATACGAGCCAGTTTCCCTTAGAACGTCCTCCGCGAAGGCATCCCTCCCTTTAAGCAGATATCCCTAGTGTGCTTTGCCATAATAAACCAAACCAAAACCAACTCCTAAATTTCAAACTCATCCCCCTCTATTTATCAAACCACGAGCTGATTGGTACTTTCTTTTACAACAGTTACGTAGACACGCAACCACTATTCAATCTCAGCAAGATATTGATTTTCTTAAATTAACTAATACTAATAAAACTGATTATAGAGCTCTGGTTAGATTCCTTTCAGAGAATCAAATAGAATTTAAAACTCACACTCTGAAAGCAGAACGTCCCTTAAAAATTGTTGTTCGAGGCCTACTCTCTGTAACGCCTATCAGCGTTGTTCAGACTGCGATTGAAGTTGTTAGATTTAAAATCCACAAAACAACTCAAACGATGGAAAACTAAAGTCACAATGCCTCTCTTCTATGTCCAGATTTACAACAGCCTGAAAGCTGACGAAGTCTTCAATATCACGGAACTTCTCGTCACTGACGTCCAAATCGAAAGATTCAAAGGAAGGAAAGGCCTTTCACAGTACTGGCGCTGTCAGGGTTTTTCCACAGATCTGAAGTTGTACTTTACCCCCAACGTTGGGTACGATGTGCTGGTCCGCACCAAGCCAAAGACTGCACTTAGTCCTTCGACGAACCGATGAAGTGCGCGAACTGTCTAGGTTCTCATGCCGCGAATTGACGTTCGTGTCCATGCTTTCCTGGAGCCTAGAAAAATCTAAGTAAACCGACGACTCAATCCACCCAGTCCGTTGGCCCTTATCCCAACAATAGCAACAATCTTAAATCAAACCCACGTCCGGCTGCAAAGTTTAATAGTGACAGTAAAGTTCGTCCCGGAGTCTTATACTCCAATATCTTAACGGGCAGTGAACAAGTTGCTTCTCCTCCTATTCCAAATTATTCGGTTCCCCAAGGAGCTTATCAGAATCAAAATTGCACCGAAATCCTTTTGGCAATAATCCAAATCTCTAATCAGCCTGGCATTGACCAGAGTAAATTACTCTTAGCATTCAAAAATGCCTTGCCTCAGCTACGAGTGGCTCCCTCTGGTGCTGACGCTGCATACTATATTTTTGAGAGCTATGTTACTCCACAATTTTCTGATTCCCCCTTTCATTAAAATTCAATACTTTGAAAGGTTTGAAGTACTTAAAATATTGTAGCTGGAATGCCAATGGTATTATATGTAAATATCACGAATTTCGTGATTACGTCGAAGAGAAGGACTTTGACATTATCTCTGTCCAGGAGACCAGACTCCAGCCAGGGAGAGTTCCCAAGCTTGCAAATTATTTATAAAAATGACTGACAAGCACCGGATCCTCGTGACGTTTATCATGGTGGTACATGCGTTTTTATTAAAAATCATATTCCCGATCGCAGAATTGACACACCGAGTCTGAGCAGACTCGAGGCGACGATTATCGAAATTTTTATTCAAAATTCACCCTCCTTAGTTTTGATCTCTGCCTATCATCCACCTTTATCCAGAACAAGAGACAAATTTCCGATGGAGGATTTTAAAAAACTGCTCAATTTATCAAACAATATCATTATCGCTGGTGATTTAAATTTTCACCACCAGGCTTGGTGTTGTAAAAATTCCAACACCGCTGTTCGTGGCCTCCTAGAATGGGCTTAATGCGCCCAATTAAAAATTATACCGCCAGATTCACCCCCACGATACGATGTGCGGGAAGCTCCTTCTTATATTCATTTGGCTCTTTTTCGAAATATTCCTTTTGACTATCACGTGATTGTGGAAAGTTGTCTATTCTCAGATCACAACCCCGTACTCATCGAACTTAACTGTATTTCTTAACAGTAAAATGTTTCCCTCCCTCGAAATTAAATCCAGTCACGATATTGACAAGGCTGTTGATCATTTAACTTCTACCCTAACAGATAATTTTAAAGAAGTATCAAAACCCCCCTTCACCTCAATTTTAATAAACTTCCAGTTGAAATCAAACTTGAAATTCGCGAAAAGAATAAAGTACAAAGGCTTTGGCAAAGAATTAGAAGTCCTGATTTAAAATTACAACTTCTTATTCTGCAAAATGAGATCAAGGCTTCATGCGACCAGTTCAATCAATCACGATACTCTAATCACATTCAGTCCTCAACGACCACAGATAACAGTCTTTGGCACTTAAATCTCACATTGCGTCCTTAGCTAAGGACACAGTGGTGGCTCATACAGACACGGAGAAAGCGGAATTAATTGCTGACAGTCTCCAAACACAATTCACACCTCATAATGAAGGAGTTTTTGCTAATACCGCAAATTCCTTCCAACTAGATGTTGAAGGATTTCTAAACTCTTCATGTCAGAGAGACATACAATATACAACCATGTAAGAAATTAGCGAATATATCGCTAAATTAAATCCTTAGAAAACGCCTAGATTTGACTCTATTTCTAACCGCATGATTAAATACCTACCCACCAGCTATCTTTTTTTTTCTCAGTAATGCTCATAAGTTATATGTTACTTACTGCATTGCTATTTTCCTCAAAGGTGGAAGAGAGCACGTATTGTGCCTATGCCGAAACCTGGCCAGTACCATTCAAATCCTCAAAATTATAGACTTATCAACCTCCTATCTTCGTTATCAAAGATTTACGAAT